TCAATTTTAAAGCCACAGTTTACACCGTCAAAGCTGATCATTAATCCTCCACATCTGAGTTTTAATGTTAAGATTTCTGATCTACCCATACAGTGTTGAGATGTTGGGCAACACTATGATGACTTCATGACTGTGTGGCTGCTGAATCGTGGGATCGGCAACCAATGTCTCGTTTCTTTTTTGTCACACCTCCTGTCAAAATGACTGAACTTCATTCTGTCTCTGGTTTACTACAATCTCTCTCCTTCCCAGGTGTTCACGTATTTCAGCAGATTTCTAGCTGTGAATTGGACAGTGAGACTGGAGAAGTTCATGGATATCGACGGTTTGGTTATGATGGAGAAGAATTCATATCACTGGACTTGAAGACACTGACATGGCGGTACACAGAGAAAGCTTCCAGCTTCAAGCAAAATTGGGACCCAGGCAAACATCGATTACACTTCAGTGAAAATTTACTCACCGACATTTGTCCTCAGTGGTTGAAGGACTATTTGAACTACGGGAGGAGCTTCCTGGAGAGAAAAGGTAGAATCACAAGCCCCTTTGTAGTTGTGATGTGTTCTTCTCTCCTTCTTCCTCACTTCTGTTTTTATTTTTTGGTTTTATTGTCTTTGCAGATCTTCCCTCAGTGTCTCTCCTCCAGAAGACTGCCTCCTCTCCGGTCACATGCCACGCTACAGGTTTCTGCCCCGACAGAGCCGACTTGTTCTGGACCAAAGATGGAGAGGAGCTTCATGAGGACGTGGACAAAGGAGAGATCCTCCCCAACCATGATGGAAGCTTCCAGATGAGTGTTGACCTGAAGGTTTCATCCATCGCACCTGAAGACTGGAAGAGATACAACTGTGTGTTTCAGCTGTCTGGTGTCAAAGACGACATCAGAACCAAACTGGACAAAGCAGTGGTCATGACCAACGGGGGTAAGTTGGTCAGAATGCTGGAGTCTGGAAATGAAACATATTTGTCATTGTGCTGCAGTAGAGATGAAATCTGAGGGTTGTGTTTCAGTTACAGTTTCTCCGTCAGGGTTTCCTGCTGGTGCTGTCATTGGAGGAGTTGTAGTTCTGCTGCTGCTGCTGCTGCTGCTGGTGCTCTGCATCGCTGGACCCTTTATCTGGAGAACGAGATATAACGGTACTCAGCAACACAAGAACAGTTGTCCTGCCTTTACATTCAAAGCAGATATCTATAAAAATATTTCCAACAAGTTATAGATAAATCATTTTAACTGCAATCATCTCTCAACTTTATTTTAGGGTTCGGCCCTGCTAACAGTGAGTTTATCCCTCAGTCAAAATGAAACATTAATTTCATTTTTCTATCGGATATTTACCGGAGTTCTGTAATCAACTGGTTCTTTGTTTTGTGCTTGTAGCCTCAGATTCTGCAGACAGAAATTCAGATCCTAGCTGATCACAGTGAGTACATCCTTGTTTTATATATACTTTGGAGATAGGAATAAACCTAAAAAGACTATTTTTTTCCTATCCACTAAATAGTAATGAATTCTACTAATCATGTGACCAATCATTTACTCTGTTCATTTCTCATTCTGTCCTGACTAGTCCAAGACTGGAGGAGGGGAGCAAACTCCAGTGAAGTTGGGATTCTGTCAAAACCGTCAATTCTTTTAACTGTACTTGATTCTGTTTTGCAATTATGAAGCCAAGCCCAAGTTTAAAACTAATTTCTCTCCAGTTTACTTTTGTGTGCAGTATTGTGCAACAAAATGTAGACATTTTAAATGTTTAGATTCTTATCCATCATGCAAAACCATCAGAGAGGCCTCTGATTGGATCCAAGTTCTCCAGAAGAACAACGACCACAAACATGCAGCCAGAGGAATAAAGAACAATCTTCAGTAAATAACTGTCTTCAGCAAGAAGAACAAGGAACCTGCAACAGATGACGAAGCCTCCACAGAGTCACAGATACCATCAACTGACACATGAGGAGAGAAACAGGAACACAGACCTGCAGCATTCTCTATTTCTGCAACTTGCAAATCTAAATTACTGACATCTGATCTGAACAACCAACTCTACATGTTAACAACTCACAGTTTTACTCACAATGTGACTGTGGAACAAAAATGTCATATAGCTGCCACTTTATGGTCATAATTTTGTATAGAGAAACTCGACAACCACAGGTGCAGGAGCAACTTTATGTGATTATTGCTGTTCTTTGAACACATACTGCATGTCTACAACAGACTGCTTCTTCTGCTCCAGTATAAATATCTATGAAAGATGGTTCACATATTGTAAACTATGTCTGTTTATTTGCCATCGCTTTCCAAACACATTT